GATCCTATTGAAATGTTTTACTGCATCCAAAGCAAACATGGACAAAATATTCCATGGTTGAGGAGCACACGGCGCATGAATAATTGATATAAAGAGTATATGGAAATATTTTGTTCAATTCAAAGGAAACATTTACAATTGATTGTATGCTTGAGAAACGTAGGACGAATGAATAATTGAGATCAACAGTATATGGAAGTATTTGTTTCAGTTCAACGCAAACATTTGCATTTGCTTCGATGTTTAAGGAACACACAACGAATGAATAATCAATATCAAGATTCTATTAAAATATCTTGCTTAATGAAAAGCAAATATTTGCAGTTGGTTCTACGGTTGAAGAACACACAACGAACGCATGAATACTAAAAAGAGCGTATTGAAATATTTTTTTCAATTCAAAGCAAATGTTAAGGGATGGTGCAATGATTGAGCAACACATAACAAAGGAATAATTCAAACAAAGAACGTATTCAAATTTATTGCTTACTTTGAAGGGGGAAATTTGAAATTGGCTGTATAATCGCAGATTAGTTGACAAATGAATTATACAAACATTAGTTGTATCCACATATTTTTCTTACATCGATATAAAGATCGACAGCTCGTAGTACAAATGAGAAATATGCAGCTATTGATAATTCGAAGGATGGTTCTATTCAAATTCTTTGAACACTTATAATAAAGGATTCCAGTTAATATCATAATCAAAGTTCATACAACAAATAAATTATTCATAGCAAAATTCTATTCCATTATTGAGATCACTTGGTAAAGAGCTTTGGTGTATAGCATCATCAAACATTACACATCACATGAATAATATGAACCATGCTTTTGTTAGAATATTATTTAATTTAAGAAATAAGAATTAGAGTTAACAATGTGACTGAGAATAATACGTTCAATGAACAATTGTAACCAGGATCTCGTTCCAATATTTTATCCGTTGAGAAAAGAGGATTCAAGCTGACCACATAGTGAGGATTAAACGCCTAATGAATAATGATAAGCAGGATCCCTATCAAGTATTTAGTTTGCTAAGAAAAAAGATTAGACTTGACAGCATGACTAAAGATTATATACCGAATGAATAATTGTAAGTAGAATTTCTTTCGAATATTTCGCTCTCTTCCAAAGAAAAGTCGCACATAGTCATATTAAAGATACATACATAGCAAATGAATAATCCAAACAAATCCTATCTTCAAATATTTTGCTCAATTCGAGGTAAATATTTGGAATTGATAAATATAATTGATGAAAGCATGTCACATGAAAAATTTTCAGGTTTACGGCTCTATTCAAATATTTTACTCGGTTTCAAGCAAAAACTTGCAAAGCATCACATGCTCCAGGAACACACGATGAATCCATATTTCGTACCAACACTCTATTTATATATTTTACTCATTTTAAAGTAAGTATTTGCAGTTGATTTCATGACCGAGGACATAGGATGAATGAATACCTCATAGTAAGACCCTATAAAAATATTTCACTTAATTCAAAGCATAGATTTGCAGCTAAATATTTGATCGATGAACACATCACCAATGAATCATTATCAGCAAGATTTCATTAAGAAACTCTGCTAGCATCGAAGCAAATATTTGCTGTACATTACAAGATTATTGAATACGCAACAAATGAATAATTCATAATACATTTATAAGCAACGGGAGCAACTGGAGCAACTGGAGTGACGGGAGCAACAGGAGCCACTGGAGCAGCTGGAATGACGGGAGCAACAGGAGTAACAGTACGATACCCCTCAAATATTTTCTTAACTATACAACGAATCTCATGAGATAGTAATATGAACGCAAGTCATATTGCAAATGAACAGTTTGAAGGATGGTAATGGTCAAATACTATTTTCAGTGTAAAACCAAATGCATGAGGTACGGATATGGATGCCGATGACATTGTATTTCAATAGTTCATAGCAAGATTGTTTTCAAATATATACATCAATTGA